AACGAAGGGAAGGAGAAATTAGGACACTAATTCAGAATCCGTTTGAGCAGCACTAGGGATTTGATCCAAGGATCATGTGAGTGATGCACAGGAGAGGAGCGAAGTTGGACAAAGGATGTGATGATTCAGTCAATACTGATAGCTGAGAATTAGGGGACACAGGAGTGAGATATGACTTTAATATTCTGATTTCATAAAGTCAGCAATTATGAAGTTATTTGAAGAGGAAGTAGATGAGTAGCAGGTTTGAGTTGGAATATGATGATTTAAGTTTTGTTTATATTCACCTAAATCTCAGATGCAAAGTTTAGTTGATGCATATTAACATGATTTAGGAAAGAGGTGTACATTTTAGAAGACCTTTGCTTATAGGCAGCAGATAACAAAATAGATTAAAAAACAAAACAACCACTTCTATCCCCACCCCAACAACCCAGGACCATGAATATTACTTAAGAAGAGGAATTTGGAGGAGAAAGAGAGCTACATAATAAACTGGTTGTAATGTTCTGTTTTAAAAGAGGTGGGTGTAGAAGGAAACAGGTAGGAAAGAGCACAGGAAACAGCAGCAAACAGGACCAGGCAAAACTGGAGGGATCCACTGTCTCCCAACAGTTAAGGAGGAAGAGAAGTGGGCAGGGTAATGTGAGAAGTCCCACAGGAAGATGACTGATCAGTGGTCATGAGGGGCCATTGACATCTAGTTCAGGAATGTTTGGTAAATGAGCAGAAGGGAAAGCCAGAATCCAGTGACTCCAGGTACAAGTGGGAGATAAAGAAGAGAAGAAAGAAAATTCAATTTCTCGAGGAAAGTGAGTTAGTTTTAATTTAGGAACTCCGTGAAAGTGTGGGGACACTGGGAAGTCAGAGCTAGCTGGGGGGAGGGAGATACAGAAAAGAAGACGAAAACAAAGTCCTTGTGATCAGTGTGGGGCTTTTATAATCCATAGAACTGCTCTGATTAGATCGTTTCTCTCTCACTTTTCTGGTGGTGCATATACTGAATAGAACTTATCATCTAAGATGTAGTCTTTATTGTAACCTCCATTAATTGTTGAAAAGTCCCCAGGATCATGGTTCTGTCCTGCCTTTCCAGTTCTTCCTGAAGATAGCTATGGTCATAAATCACTAGGAGCAGGGTAATACTGGCTGTGAGGGATTGGAAAAATATCTCTCTTTGTGGTAAGGTCTCATGTAGTCCAGGCTAGCTACGAACTACTAACTATCTAACCAACTAACTAACTAACTAAGTAACCAAAAACCAAGTTACCAACTAAGTTAAGCAACCATCAAACTAAACTAAATTAACTAGCTAGCTAAACCAACGAACCAGCTATACTAACTTGTATAGTTAAGGTACCTGAAACTTCCATTCTTCCTCATTCTAATTCCCAAGTGTTAGGGCCACAGCCTCCACACTCTGTGGTGATTGCAAATCTTTCCCAGGCAGGCTCTAATGATTCAGGTAACTGGGCATTTATAGGTTTCATTTCTACAAAGAATGTAAGATGGTAAAAGTTAAAAAAAATTCTTAGCACTACCAGGAAAATGAATTGTTTTTATTCTGTTTTACAGCTTTGTTTAAAAAACATTCTCAGCTTCTTGATGAAAAAGCAATTACAAAAGAACTGAATTACACTGACTTGGAGTGTACAAAACAGCATCCACTCTTGAAAGGTAAAACTTAATGTGCCAAAAATCAGCATTTCCAACATGATTCTCAGATAGCTCCATCAGCAATGAACGGTGTGGAGACACGACTTCATACCACACACTCAGTACCAGCTGCCTGTGTAGTCGTTTTTAGAGGTCTCCAGTCAGGCATAATTGGGATGTGTGCCCCCCTAGTGTTGATAAAGCAAACTTTCAGGGAGGGAGAGGCAATACTGAGCTGAGCAAATTATTAGAAACAGAAAGGAGCTCCAGAAAGAATAAAGCAAATATAATGGCGTGAATGTGAGTGTCTC